CTCCCTCTCTCTCTCCCTCCCCTCCATCCCTTCCTCCCTCCTACCTCACACTCTTCCACTGTCCCACTCTCTCTTTCACCATAATACATACACATATATATATATATATTCTTATTTTATATTACACACACACACACACACACACACACACACACACACACACACGCGCGCGCGCGCGCGCGCACGCACATATATATGTGTTGAACTATAAACAAATATTTAGAAATATTTGTAGTATTAAATTTAATGAATTTTTCAGAACGAATCCTTGCAATTAGTACAAACGTGCGGGTTATGTGAAATGATCTGTGACCAACCAGACATCGCAAATCACCCTTGCTTGAAAAATTACAAGCAGTATACAACTGATCCTAATACGTTGTACTTTTATCCCTTATTAGGTAAATTATAGCTTTTATTATTATTAGAGTCCCTCTAATCAGAGTCTGGCCAACTTGCAGTTCTGGCAAAATTCTGTGAGAGAGAAGGATATAAGAAAGAAACAGAAAGCGATATACATATACATATCGGCTTATCCACTGATACCGCGATCTCAGATCCTAGGTTCACCCCGGTCTCTAATCACTCGATAGTTCTAATCACTGGTACCGGTTTATTTTTTTTTCTTCTTTCCTTCGAACTTTATCAAACCCGGAAAATCTCTGTCTCTCGAGAGTGGCGGAGATATCGACGTAATTCGATGGTGATCTCTCCGCCAAGATTTTTCGACACCGGGCCGATCACACGCGACTCTCGAGCACTTTCTTGCTCTTGCTCTTGCTTTTGCCAAGAAATGGCGAACCAATCAAAAGTTGCTACTGTATGGTCAGACTCTGATTAGAAGGACTCTAATTATTATTATTATATTTAAGGCTCTTGTCCTCGCTTCTATCTTTGTTATTTATTTCTTTAATATTTTATTGGTCTTACTTCTCATCATAACCTTAATATTTTATTTTATTTTATTTTTTTAGAATTTTTGACATGCTATTTCTCGCTTCTGACGTCATCCAAACAAGGATAGAAGCGGCGAGTAGGCAGGAGCCTTAAGATAAAGCAAGATGTTTTTAAATCATATTTTGCAGATGATGGAGTGACCATAGTCAGGAAAAGCAGAATGCCGAACAATGAAGAACAAGTGGTGGCAACGCGATTGTACGAGAGGAATATAAGTAATAATTTATATAGGCTGGTTTGCGCGCGCGCGGCTGGTTCTACATATAATCAGTCGTATGTCGGAGTTTGGATGTCGGAACGCAGCCGATGGTTCAATGAAAGAATTTCTCTTTTGAAAACGAATTTTCCTCATTGGACCAACAGCTACGTTCTGATATCCGACTTCGACATATGACTAATTGTAGAACCGGCCGTGAGAATCGTATAGAAATAATAATGTTAAACAATTTTTTTATTATTTATAATGTATTTTAATTTTATATTATAAATTCCATTAAGTCGAAACGGGAAGAAGTATTGTCTGAAGTGCAAAATGCTTTATTAAAGAAGCCCCAAAGAAATTCAAATGAGTAAGGGCCAGGCTGAATCACGACGATGAAGAAACTCTTCTTTTGGAGGTCCAGTTACGAGAGGCTCTTTGGAACTATAAACTTCCGCTAATACAACGAAACGCAAGAATCACGAAAAATTTGTGGCAGGAAGTGGCAAATGCCTTGAACGGAAAAATTACGGCCGACGAAGCAAAAGCAAAATTTAAAAGCCTTCACGACACTTATCGACGAATAATCAGATCGGAAGCTTGCGCCAGTGGATCTGCCAGAAAAGATAGTGGAAAAAAGTGGGCTCATTATGATTCAATGGAATTTATGCGAGATTCTTGCATGCTTGCTGAAAACGTAAGAATTATATATTTTATATAAATGTTAAAGCTATTATATTTAGTATAATCTATAATAAAATAATTTTAATTTCTATAGCACAGTGAGTAGCATCGAAGACCCAATGGACAATTTTGGAGATAATGACGAAAACGCAGAAAACATTGAACCAAGTATGTATTAATAAAAAAATATTCCGTGGTATTGTGTGTACAAGTATTAAAAGAAAATAGTTAATGTTCATAATGTTTTTTTTTAGATCATGGGCCTCGGAACAAAAAAAGAAGAGGCGATCCTGAGGCGTGTACCAACGCCATAGAACGAATTGCAAGTGCAATATGTGACAATAACGACGTGCCTATTGATCTTCCGCCTCCTCCAGTTATAGACGAAGTTGATTCTTTCTTGTCGATGTTAGGGTGCCAGTTGCGAGAACTAGTATTACGTAAACGACGAGAGATAATGAAAATAATTTTGGATGTAACATACGATGCTTTGACAGAACAGTGAATAATATCTATGCTTCTATTCATTAATATAGTTTGTAATGTAATAATAATTTTGGTTTGGGAATAAAATACTATTAAATGTTATATTGTTTTTTATTTTAAAAGAATCAAATTTAAATATGTTATTAATGTAATAAATTATCATAAAAACAGATTGAATGACACATAAATATGTAAACAATGCAAATTAATAATTAAGTTAAATGTCAGTTGACAATTTGAATAGAGATAAAATATGATGGTCATATGTACAAATATTAATAATGGTCGAATTGCCACGGTACAGCTCCTTCACTGTTGAAATATCTGCAGAATTCTTCTCAAATTTCTCTAGCTCGACGACTACTATTATTAGTACCGCATTTATTTATGTCACGAAGTCCACTATTTTCAATGCATTTTCTCCAAGAACCAAGAATTAAACCATTTGGACCATCTTGATCAACCATTGATGGAGGAACATATTGATTCTCACCAATATCTTGTAAGCGCAGCCAATTATGGAGACATACTATTGCTTGAACTATTTTCATTATTTTTTCAATAGTACAAATGATTGGTCGCTTCAAAATTCTCCATCTACTCACTAGAGTGCCAAAAGTGTTTTCAATTGTCCTTCTAACACGACTGAGACGATAATTGAAAATTGTTCGATCTTCATTTAAATATTCTCTTCCTGGATAAGGTCGAAGTAAATAATCCGATAGTTGAAAAGCTTCATCGCCCACAAGAATATAAGGCAAAGGTTGTCCATCCGAAGTAATAGGTTCTGGTTCCGGTAAATTCATTCGTTTATGATGAAATGATTGACCAATCAAGGAATCCTTAAAAATACCACCATCACTGCGTCGACCATAAGCTCCAATGTCCACGAATGTAAAAATATA